ACTGACCTCGGCTACGCATCGGACGGAATTGCTAGGCGTCTTTGCTTGTACAAAAAAAAGGAGAAACCATTTTTTTTTGTATTATTAATGAGCGCGTGCGGGAATTATGACTGTTAAATTTAACTGTGCTTTCACTCGAGGAAAGTTGTTCGAAATACATGTACGTGTATACTTATACACATTTCCATGAAATTGTTTTGTCGGAATCGAGAAGTAGTACTGCGAGTATGTTTTACCTTTAGACGTGTCTCGTATTCCAGTTTCTGTCACTTCAGTCTTCTGCAATTAATCGTCTTCTTAATGATACAACTTAAAATACACTTTTAAGAGTTTAATCAATTATTTTTTTCCACTCTTCTCTTTTATAAATCGCATTTTCGTTTATTCCTTTCTCTTGCAGTACATTTAAAATTACTTGTTTCCATGATATAGGTGGTCTTCCACGTTTCCGTACCCAATAAAAAGCTAATTTAGGTAATATCCATTTTTTCAATGTTCAAACCAGGTTAGCCTTTTTTTGTTTACATAATCTATAATTGAATAGGATATATTCATATGTTTTCTAACAACATCATTTCGAATTTTGTTTCTTATGAATATTCTTGCATTATCATCGATGAAATTATTTTAACATCGATGATAAAAGAAGTTGAAAGAGAAACAAAAAAGTAAAACGAAGAGAGAGTGTTGATGATTAAGCTCAACTTCCTGCAGAGTTGGCCAACGGATTTTCAAGTGAATACAGAACATTTATGGGAATGACGACTGCTCAGTCCGATGTTTTGTTGGAAAACGTTACTACGGCGATTCAATGAGTTGATTAACTCGAGAGGTGCAATGCATGCCAAAATATAATTAAAGGTTAGGTTGTCATTCTCAGCATCAGGAATCAGCTACCGGTCTTTATTGCATTTCTCAAAAAACTGCACTTGGCACATATGACTCGGTGTGCCTTCTCAATGTCCCACTAATCTTTGACGGAATTGTGGCAGGGTAGCTCCTTGCTAATAAAGTAAATAATCCACTTTTCTATTCACATACACTTCTAAAACTTACTACTAAACTTATTTGAATGTGGGTAGAGAATTTTGAACACTAGCTAGATACTTAGGTCGAATTATGCTGTTATTTTGATGGCAGTTCTGGCGGCCGGCTGCTCCGATCGGTAGTTTTCCGTGGTTTCTCCGATCATCATCAGGCGAATACCGGAGCAGTATCCTAATAAACGGACCAGGAATTATGAATTTTGCTCGGGCCCTTCATATCTCATATGATTCGTGAAATGAGACTAAGTCTTTTTCTTGAGCTGATAATATATGGATGTCCCTTCATACCAGAAAACAATACTAAATGAAACATATTCAAGTATTTTAAAAGGAGTAACATTTTATATTTTTAGGCCGATTAATTTGTGTTCTGTCAAGGATTTTTATCATATATGTCTGAAACATTCAAGTACGTTCTATTAAAGACAAATAATTAGTGTCAATTTAAATGATATAAAAATAGTGTAATTATTTAACAATGTTTATTTATCTTATTCCTCTTCTTGCAGATCGCCATTGCAGCAAGGGGCCGGAGAGTTGAAGGGTAAAGCACATTGGATCGGGTAAAGTCTGTATGGGGCAGGTCCAATCCTAGTCTGATCGAGCGGGGTCGTATCGGGTTCAGTCGTAGTGGGTCGAATCGGGTCGATGTGAGTCGGTGCTCAGCGCATCTGATCTGATCTGATCGGGTGGATTCGGACAGAATCGGGTGAGCTCATGTCGGGCTGCGTCGAGTCATGTTGGGTCAAGTCAAAAACGCTTGGTCGGGAGCGTAAAGTCCTATGGATCTGGAAGGTTCAGGTCGGGTCGGGTCGGGTCGGGTCGGGTCGGGTCGTTTCGGGTCGGGTCGGGTCGGGTCAAAT